TCAACAACAACAACAGGGATGGCATATGAGTTGCTGGGAGGATGGTTAGCAGTCCTGTTGAACTGGCAGGTAGACAAAATAGAAAACTCACAGCCAAACTGTAAGAAAACCCATGGACAATGAGACATTAGTAAAATATACTAGGTCATTTTAGCGCGTGCACACACATTATATACAGACCTATTGGTCCTTGCGAGGCTGTTTGGTTATGCTATGCTAACTAGTTTGCTAGGGTGTAAAATATATATATATATTTATATATATATATATATATATATATATATATATATATATATATATATATATATATATATATATATATATATATATATATATATATATATATATATATATATATATATATTTATTTATTTATTATAACATATATTTAACTCTTCTCAACAAATGCAAGGATGAATTATACGACTTAACCTTTGAGCAACTGTGTCCACACTGATACGGCAGGCCTCCCTGCACACGACGTCAGGTCGGTCATTCCTATGTCCTTTGGTTCCTCATTTCGTAACTCCAGTGTGTGGTGCTTTCCCTCACGTCCAATGGTTAAACGAGATTATTTACGGTTTGCAATAAAATGCAATATTAAAGTATATTAATATAGATTTTCCTCCATGTATTGGTACTATGACTAGTTACCAAGATACAGAAGACGATGAACATGACATGATATTGATAGTGAAGCCTGGAAGGGTTCATATCATAACTTGTGTGTTCGTGCGTATGTTGCCCCGTGAGAGTTGCCGTGGGCCTCCATGTGCCCAGGTGGGATGGTCAAAGGATTACACTATAAGTGTGTCAAATGAGGAGTGACTGATCCACATGTAATTTAAGGTTTTTAAAATATGTAGTTAAATTAAACACGATTTTTCATATAGTTACGCGAATGATGGGAAATAAAAGATACAGATGGGGTGTGGTGGAAGCACATTAACGTTGTGTGGATTCACTGGGTGGTTTGGAAGTGTTTATTTCCATTCATACTTTAGTAACTACAACCTATGGTAATTTTTCTTCATGTTCATATATAATGAAGATAATGCAGAGTATAAAATGCCATATACAATACTTATACATAATATCATCTATACAGCTGTACTATGACTGTGTGTGTTCGTGCGTGTGTTGCCTCGTGATAGTTTGATGGGCCCCTGTCCAGAAGGGACGCTGTACTAGCCTCCAACACCGACCCAGGTGGGCTACAGAATATGGTTTCCGAGTGTACCTGTGCAGGAGCTGGAGGTGGCGGCGAGGATTGCCGAGGGCCTGACAGGGCAGGTGGTGGTGGTAGCGACGGAGAGGGACGGTGAGGGTTCAGGTGAGCAAGAGGTGGTGGTGTTGGTACTGGTGAGAGACAGCTGGTTCCCTGGTGGGCAGGTGGTGGTGGTGACGGGGAGGAAAGGTGAGGGCTCAGGTGAGCAAGAGGTGGTGGTGCTGGTGAAGGACAGCTGGGGTCCAGGTGGGCAGGAGGTGATGGTGACTGTGTGGCAGGGCCGGCAACGACCTTGTTCCAAGAAGGGTAGGGAGAGGGAGGGAGGGGAGAAAGGATGGGTGGTAGGAGTGATAGGGGGATGGCAGAGGAGAGGAGATCAATGGGAAATCCTTGGTGGATGGAAGAGGCGGCAGTGGATAGGAGTGAGGTTTGGTTGACAGGGGCTTCGTCAGAGACGAGGGCGGTGGTACAAGGTAAGTTTTCCCCGTGCGAGTGCCAGGACGTTGTGGGCAGTTGGCATTCCAGGCGTGGTGACTGCCATGGCAATTGACACACCATGGAATATCTGGGATTTTGTTCTGAATTTTCGATTTGCATTCCACTGTGTCGTGAGAACCTGCAGAGAAACCGCAGGCGACCATCCTCGTGCATTCCCAGGTGCGGTGTTTCCACGGTTGGCAACGACCAAAGATTTTCGGGGTTCCGATAAATCGGTCGAGGGAGGGGGCCCACCCACCAGCCGATGAGCTCGTTGGATGGACGTTTGGAGACCGGGTTGATGCGGCGTTCCATGTCCAGTAGTTGTGGGAGAAGAGGGCGAAGATCGTCGATAGGGATCTCCCAGGGTACGTGGCGAACCATTACCTTGGTACGACGAGTTTCTGGGGTGATGGTGGTGAACTTCAGCATCACCTCCTCCTGGGGAGCAGGAAAGCCCACTTGAGTGAGTAGGCGTACTGTCTCGTCCATTCTCGTGGTGACTATTACGGCTGTAGGACCGCTGTGGAGGCGAAGTGTTGAGTCCTGAAGTGGAGAGCAGTGACGGAAGAACCAGGTCGTCCGTGTGCTCAGAGGCAAGTCCCGAGGAAAGCCGAGACGACGAAGGCGCGACGGGGCAGGGGAACGAAGGGAATCCCCAATGTCCATCGTTAGCGGAGGGTCAGTCATTGAGCCACATGTAAGCTCACTTGGGAAACCGCGACGGCAGAAGGAGGCCACCCTCTACAGCCCCAGACGGGGTGAGAGAGGGAGCCGTAGCCCCTGCTGGAGACCCTGATTTCTGAGGTTTCTGCTTCTTAGACCTGTCTTCAAGATGAAAGTCGTCAGCATCACTGTCACCTACTGCGGCCGTCTCCAACGAATGGGAGCGTTTAAAGGCGGGCATAGGGCACGTTGGCAACACTGCAGTCAGGTAGAGTGGTAAAGACGTCACTGCTACGTCACACTTTACATTGCACATGCGCAAACTTGAAAAACTTCGACCAGAGGGACCGGGTGGAAGGACCAGATGCTTTTATTCTCCCAAAATGACAAAGTCCAAAAGTAAGAAAAAAAAATGCCACTGTGCTGATAACTGGGTCTTACTATAGTTGTCTGCACAGACTGGGAATAGTAGACTCGCTGAATTCGCCAGAAATACGACTTTTAAGGAGCAGTCTCTTACAGCCTTTGTTGACGCCTACGGCATGCATGCTCGTTGTCCAACAGTAATCTTTATGCCTTTCACTTAGATCTCCATTCCTTAATAAGAGCTATGAATTGTGAATTAACTAAAGTCAGGAACCAGGTAATATGCAATAAGCTGACCTTAAACCTAGAAAAAACCCAATACACAATCTTTCACAGAAGGAAAAACTTACCTTTACTTTCAGATTTGGACCCCCTGTTCCTTGGTAATACAGACCTCAAACGTGAACAAAATACTAATTCCTCGGAGTTATTGTTGATGATAAACTAAACTGGAGAAACTACATGCAAGCCAATTTAACAAACAGTCACTCACTCTTCCAGCAATAAAAAAAATCTATTATGACCTTGTCTACCAACACTTGATACACTGTCACACACTATGGGGGGGCTTCCAGCTCCACTAAAACATAAACCTTGGTCACGGCCCAGAAGAGAGTCGTGCAGACAATAACCTACTTGAAAAACTAATCTCACTAACGAACAATTTGCTAAGTTGAAAATGTTAAAATTCGAGGATATTAACACTTACTGCTGTGCTCTATTTGTTTATAAATCTGTTAATCACTTGATTGAGAATAATTATTTCCAGTTCTGGAATAACCAGAGGTATAACTTAGGACCTGCTAATACCACCCCCCTCCTTGTTTTGTCAGTCTCAGAAATCCATAAATATTATAGTGTGATAGTGTGGAACAACTTATCCCCACCCATCCGAGCAAATATTACGCTCCCTTCTTTTAATCATCTCTTAAATAATATCAGTTGTATTAATACCTTTATTGTACCATCAAAACCATTATAACATGCATTGTCAAGTAGATGGTAATTACCATTGTAATAATTATATACAGTATTTGCCGTCAAGACATGGTCCTGACTGTGTCTGTCCCCTGTGTCACCTTAATACAACCCATGTTTTATTGCTTCCCACATTAATCGGAATTCTGTATAATTATCAACTCCATTGTAAAATATGTATATACTTATAATACAAATATAAAAAAATAAAATAAAATAAATAAACATGTGAAAATCGTGGTAACTTTATCATATATATTTACTAATATAATGTTACTTGTACTATTCTAGATTATACTAAATGTTATATAATAGTTCCTTGAGAAAAATATACAGGATATATCAGGTGTCACTAAGAGAGCTCAGGCTCTGAATTGGCTCAGACACTTTGTGTCTGTATTTTTCTGGCTAAATAAACATTTAAATATCAACATCAATATCTACATTGGTGGGAGAGAGAGAAAACAGAGAGTTTAAAGTGTTCGGAGGGAAAGCTCGCTTCCTTATTACAGACTGTTTTAGAAGGAAAGAGGCAACCCAGATCTAGACAACTGAGACTCCAAACTAAATAGAACTTGATCTGGACGGTGTGTTACGCGATCCACTGTCGGTACAAATGGTTAAAAAAAAAAGTTTTGTAGTACATGCTTACTTGAGCAGTAACATATAGAGTGGACCGTGACTGAGCTGCTCCTCCCAGTGCTGCACGTCATCTTGGGTGTCACAATCAACTCCTTCGGCTGTCTTTTCCTCTGCACCTTCACTCTCATTCACTGTCTCCTCTTCCGCTGTCTCTGCCGTCTAAGAGAAGAAAAATAATCCTTGAATGGCAATAGCATTAATGCTTGGCTGTGGTAGACAGGTGTCAGGTGTCGCTAGATATGTACAGTATATAAAAAATGCAATCTGGTAATATTGCAGAATATTTAAGAGGATCAAATGTTTTTAAAATTATGTTATTACCTCAAAAATGCATGTTAAAAAAAGAAACGAAGAGCGTGGATTGAGAGCAATAAGCCCTCTTTCTCTGTATCGAGAGGCATAATAGTGTAACTCGTGAGACCACCATTCACACCAGAAGAAGGTGCCTGCGTAGGCGTCTAGCTCGATCCTCTAAGTTATTGACATTCTGGGTCAAGAATTACTGGAAAAGGGTTCAATGAACTCTAATTTGAACCGGTTGCAATTAATTGTTAGCACATCTATACCGACCTTGGGGAAAGGAAAAATTGCGTGAAGCAAATCCCACGATACATTTCGAACTTCTCTGACCATAATAATGAGCCATTTTTTCTATCGACCTTAATTTTCTTTACACCATGGAATGGATATCCGTCCTTCCCCAGCCATAAACGGGATTTCAAGAGCTCAATCCTTTCTTTATGGTTAGTACAGGATTTTTTTTATTCCATCTGCTGACTCAATCCAGTAGAATAGAAGATGAATGAGGAAAAAGATTTCTCTCCTCAACTAGAGAACTCTATCGAGGAAAAACCTCAATAAAGTAAACTTCCTCTTTACCAAAACCCTAAAATTGTTGTTTTGCCTCAAGCTAGACCTCGTGGAAGATTTCGGACGAACATCTCAAATCCAAAAGTCCAGTGAGATGCGCCTAACTATTATAGGCTTAACTATTAAAGCTTTTGGCCCAACTAATACAGGTTCTCGGCTTACCTATTGTAGTTTCTCGGCCTAACTATGGTTCTCAGCCTACCTATTGTAGATTCTCGGCCTACCTAATGTAGATTCTCGGCCTAACTATTAAAGGTTCTCGACCTAACTATTGTAGGTTCTTGGCCTAACTATTATAAGTTCTCGGCCTAACTATAATAGATTCTCGGCCTACCTATTATAGGTTCTCGGCCTAACTATTACAGGTTCTCGGCCTAACTTTTACATGTTTAGCCCTGACTTCCATTTATACACTTCGATCAAATCGCCGGGATTAGTCTTGTCATTCTCCTCTGAATTCTCCCATGGATTCTACAGTATATTCATTCTGTAGCACGGTGACCAGAACTGAACTGCGTAATCCAAGTGAGGTCTCACAAGCGCAAGATACAGTTTTAGGATAACATCGCTAGTCTTGCAACTAACACTCCTTTGTATGAACCCAAGTACTTTGTTAGCCTTGTTTCTAGCAAATACACATTGTTGACTTGGTTTAAGATTCCTACTTATCATTACTCCTAAATTTTTCTCACAGTTGGATTTCTCTATAACAACGTTGTTCATCTGATATCTGGCATCTCTGTTTACATCTCCTAGACAAAGAACTTTACATTTGTTCGCGTTAAATTTCATCTGCCATTTTTCAGACCATTCGAAAAATTTGTTTAGACCTCGTCAAATTTAATTACATGCCCTATTTTAGTGTCATCAGCAAATTTACTTATGATGCTGTCTAGGCCTATATCTATGTCATTCATGTTTACGATAAATGGTAATGGTCTAAGTACTGAGCCTTGGGGTACTCCAATGCCACGATCCTCCACTTTTCGTATTAGTCTTTCGTGGGGACTCTGTCGAAGACTTTACTAAAGTCGATGTATACCACATCATAATCGTGCCCCTCGTCCACTGATTCGAAAACAGCTGAAAAGAAAGTTAATAGATTAGTCAGATATGAACGCCCACTTGTGAAGCCATGTTGAGAATGATTGTGCTTCTCCGGGTTATTCCGAATTGAGTTTGAAATTATTGCTTCCAGCAATTTGCCTTCAATTAATGTTAAACTGATTGAACGGTAGTTAGAGGATAGTGATCTATCTCCTTTCTAGAAAATCGGTATCACATTCGCTATCCTCCAGGATTCTGGTTCTCGGCGTTCCTATTATATATTCTCGGGCTAACTATTACAGGTTGTCGACCTAACTATTACAGGTTCTCGGCTTAACTATTACAGGTTCTCGACCTAACTAATACAAGTTTTTGACTTGTCAATTATAGGTTCTCGACCTAACTATTATAGGTTCTCAAACTAACTATTATAAGTTCTCGGCCTACCTATTATAGATTCTCGGCCTAACTATTACAGGTTCTCGACCTAACTATTACAGGTTCTCGGTCTAGCTATTACAGGTTCTCGACCTAACTATGACAGGTTCTCGACCTAACTATTTCAGGATCTCAGCCTAACTATAACAGATTCTCGGCCTAGTTATTATAGGGTCCCGACCTAACTATTATAGATTCTCGGCCTAACTATGATAGGTTCTCGGCCTAACTATTATAGGTTCTAGGCCTAACTATAATAGATTCTCGGCCTAACTATTATAGGTTCTCGGCCTAACTATAATAGATTCTCGGCCAAACTTTTAACAACCAACCTCAGAGACTGTTAAGGTCAGCGTTTAAAAGCCGGTTGCATGCGGCATTGTTACTCAACACCTCACACCAACCGGACGTATTTAGCAGAGCTATTTAACATAGCCTCCGTCCTCGTCTTAACACTCATAGCTAGAGTGATTAAGTTACAGTGATATACACTTGGAACTGTATATGAGATAGTTCCTCAATAAATAGATAACAGACAATTGGGTTTCGCTACTAAAACCCTATATAATATACATGTTCCAGCCTCATTAACCCAGACGGAATCAGCGGTTAAAGGACCCAAAACACCTAACTATTATCGATTAATTATCAGTCTAATTACTAAAGATACCCAGTCTAACTATTAAAGGTTCTCGTCCTACCTATGATAAATTTTTCGCCTAACTATAATAGATTCTCGGCCTATCTATAAGAGGTTCTCGGCCTAACTATTATAAGTTCTCTGCATAACTATAATAGATTCTCGGCCTAATTATAATGGGTTCTCGGCCTAATTATTATAGGTTCTCGGCCTAATTATACTAGGTTCACAGCCTAACTATTATAAGTTCTCGGTCTAACTATAATAGGTACTCGGTATAACTATAATAGGTTCTCGGCCTAACTATTATAGGTTCTCGGCCTAACTATTATAGGTTCTCGGCCTAACTATAATAGATTCTCGGCCTTAACTATTAAGAACATAAGAACATAAGAAAATAAGGAGTCTGCAATAGGCCGGTTGGCCTGTGCATGGCAGCTCCTGTCGAGAGTTACTACCACTCTCTATCATCCATGAATTTATCTAGCCTCCTTTTAAAACTTCCCAGCGTTCCAACACTTACTACAAAGTTGCTAAGCTTGTTCCACTCGTCCACCACCCTATTTGTGAACCAGTTCCTTCCTATCTCGCTCCTAATCCTAAACTTATCCAACTTAAATCCGTTGCTACGAGTCCTATCCTGCTCGGATATTGTAAGAACTTTATCTATATCTCCTTTATTGATTCCTTTCACCCACTTAAATACTTCTATCATATCTCCCCGCACTCTTCGCCTTTCTAGGGAATGCAAGTTTAGTTTCTTTAACCAATCTTGATATGGAAGGTTTCTAAGTCCCGGAATCATTTTCGTCATTCTTCGCTGCACCGACTCCAGTGAATTGATATCCATTCTATAATAGGGGCACCAGAACTGAACCACATAATCGAGGTGCGACCTGACTAGTGCAAGATATAGTTGCAATAAGACCTCTGTACTCTTATTACTTACACTTCTAGATATAAAACCTAATACTCTGTTTGCCCTATTTTGAACATTAACGCACTGTTTTCTAGGCCGTAGGTCCGGGCTTACAAGTACCCCTAAGTCACTTTCGCAAGTCGACTTCTCTAGATTAATGTTGTTAAGGCTGTATACATTGACTTTATTTGTTCTTCCAATATTAAATACGCTGCACTTGCTGGTGTTGAATTTCATTTGCCATTTTTCTGACCACTCCTGCAGTTTATTCAAATCCTCCTGTAGTGCATTTGCATCCTGCCCTGAATTATTCTGCCGCCCTATTTTGGTGTCATCCGGAAACTTGCTTATGTCACTGCTGATCCCAGTATCTACATCGTTTATTTAGATTATGAACAAGAGTGGGCCCAGTACTGACCCCTGGGGAACCCACTAGTTACACAGCCCCACTCAGATTTAACACCATCTGCGCTGACCCTCTGCGTTCTATTGGTGAGCCATGATTTTATCCAATATAAAACTTTCCCCTCAATACCATGAGCCTTAACTTTTCTCAAAAGCCTCTGATGCGGTACTCTGTCAAATGCTTTGCTAAAGTCTAAGTAAATAACATCGTAATTTTCGTCATTATCTGCTACCTCGAAGACTTTCCTAAAAAACGTCAGCAGATTTGTTAGACATGAATTTCCCTTTGTAAACCCATGTTGACAGTCGTAGATTAATTTGCTTTTCTCTAAATGCGATTGGATGCTATTTGCTATAATTGATTCAAGAAATTTCCCCACTACTGACGTCAAACTGATCGGCCGGTAATTTGACGCTCATGCTATGTCTCCCTTTTTGAATATGGGTACTACATTTGCCTGTTTCCACAAGTCTGGCACAACTCCCGTGTCTAACGATTTTGTAAATAAATTTACGAGGGGTCTGCTAATCTGTTCCCTACACTCTTTCAAGACTCGAGGGAAAATTTCATCAGGCCCTGGGGATTTTGTCTTCTTTAATTTATTTATCCTCTTAAGAACATCCTCTTTTCTGATAGTGATATTCTTTAATTTCTCTTTTTCCTTTCCCCTAAATATCAGTTCCACCTCTGGAATTTCCTCATAAATTTCTTCTGTGAAAATTGATAAAAAGTAGCTTTTCAATGCTTTGCTTATTTCTACACTGTCACCGATCACTTCCCCCCTCCTGACTTTAAGGGCCCAACTTTGTCCTTGACCTTTGTTCTATAAACCTGGAAAA